ATGATTTAGACCTGCATTTTGGTGATGAGACAGAAATATACACTTAGTTTTCTCTATGGTTACTTCTAGACCAACCTCCTTACTATCATCAGTTAAAGTTCGTGTGTTCTTCCTTGTAGCATCTATAATATCAGCCAATAGATTCATATCATCAGCAAAGACCAAAAAGCTGATATATCCCATTTAATTTGAGTCCCACCTGGTTTTCCTGGACCTTCCTAATGGCATACTATAAAGCAAAATTGAAAAGGAGTGGCGATAAAAGCATCTCCTTGTTTTATACCATTCTGGATAGAGAAATTATCAGACAAATGTTTACCTATATGGACTTTACCATACATTTTGTTTAAGTACATTTTAATCCGCCTAACTAATTGCATGGGTACCCCAATCTCTTATGAGAATATTGTTCAATACTTCCCTCCTAACTTAATTATAGACTTTCTTGAAGTCTATGAATAGCTGATGTACCGTCTCATGGTACTCCCATTCTTTCTCCAATATCTGAGAAATGCAAAAGATCTCATCAGGAGTTAATCTGTTATGTCAAAACCCACACTGATGATCCCCAATAATGAAATACAGATCTGCTAGAAAGTGTCGGTGAAAATTTCAACATAAATCTCATGATGAAAGAGTTCCCAGCAGAAAAACAATTCACAATTTGGTGAACTGACTTAGAATAACAGGGCTCTTAATAGAAAAAAAAAGAAAAAGAAAAAAAGAAACATAATTGTCTAGTGCTTACTGGGGACAAGTTAGATGCCATATGGGCCAGACCTGAGCATACACCTAGAAGATCACTGAAATGTCTAGCTCAAGAGCAGCAGCAGAGCAGCAGTAGTAGTAGTAGGTGGTAGTAGTAGTAGTAGTAGTAGTAGTAGTAGTAGTAGTAGTAGTAGTAGTAGTAGTAGTAGTAGCAGCAGCAGCAGCAGTAGTAGTAGAATTTTGACAGCCAAAAGGCCAATGTTAATATAATCACAAGCAAAAGGACAAACAAAACACACAAGTACATGCAAACAAAGAAAAAACTAGCACACGTACCATTTAGACAATGATTTGATTGTTGCCACCTTGACAGCCATGATGCAAGAAGGAGAGAAAAATTATATATAACATATATTAATACTGGGCAAAATAATATTTAATAATTTATAATTATGAGTACAAGTTATAAAATATATTTAAAAGATAGAGTTTTTGTTCCAAATATGTACATCTATGCCCCTACAAACAACTTTAACAACTGAAATGCCTTTAGCAGAAGGTCAGCTTTTACTCAAAAAGCAGACACTGAATATAGTGAAGTCTCTGATACACTAAGTAGGAACTTAGGAGACCAACAATTTCCAAAACAGAGGGGCAGAATTTGGAGCCACAGTAAACCTGAGTAAGGAAGACTGCATCAAGGCGATGCCTTCTTTTGTATGCCATGCAATTTTAACTGCTCTAAAGCCTGAACACAGCTCCTCCGTTAGCACATAATTCTGTGTCATGTTACTTCTTGCCTGAGAAACACCTAGTTGCACGCAGTGATGAAGCTGGCATTTGAACACCAAGATACTTAATGCAAAACCTTCTTTTACACAACTTACAGATTTACGTATTTTACACATGCATCACATAAAGCATAAAAACCCAACGCAGAAGCATACATTTTGCTGTCTCATTTCAATACTGTAAATAAGAATATGGGATTTCTGAGTGATCCTATGAGAACAGAAACACAAAGAGAACCGATACATACGTGTATTAGTGAGTCATTAGCATGTGCAGTGGTAGCTATGCACGATGAAATAATAACAAAGACCCTGCATAGTAATGTCATCTGATAGTTTCCTTCCCCACCTCTTTATGGTTTAAAGCACATTTGGCTATTGCTTGCATGCTTCTCTTGGCTGGGCAAACTGGACTTGGTCATAAACGACTCTGTATAATGAATAAGCAGTCTTGGATAATTGTCAGATATTTTCTCAAGGTACAAATCAGCATCATAAAACAGTCCTGCTATAAAAGTCCCAGAAAAGCCTCTGAAACATGGAAATTCTTTAGAATGATCCGGGAAATAGTTGAAGGACTTGTGATAGCATAGCTGCTTGTGTCACTGGTTATAAAAGTAAAATTAATCTAAACTCCATGGTCTTGGTCTGCAAGCAAACTATACCGACAGAGCGGCTGCCATTTGTAGGCGAAGTTAGTGGAACCTCTTGTAATAAGCTCACTTGTAGGTCTAAGGAGGATATGTGATGACGATGATGATAAGATGTGAAAGCTATCACTGTAACAGGTCATGAAGGTCTACTGGGTTGTGAGATGTCAAGGCTCCCACATTTTCTCTAGACAACAGGCTCACAGATGGCAGTAAGGATGTCAGCCTCATGCGCTGGGCGCCGTTTACCCCCCAGGGCCACAGTGCAGCTGGAAGAAACCCCCGATCTTCCGGCTTGTATCATAATACCTCAACCAACTACACTACTGCATGCTCCAGATGAAAGTTGGGAAATAAGTTGTGAGAATGTGAAAGAAGGGAATCTGATCATGTCCAGTGTATCCCTGTGGTTACTTGTGGATTTATTTCATAATGCTGTCCGCAGCTAAGTGATGAACTGGAAAGAATTTAAAATGAAACTGTCATGGTCTAATTGAGAAATCTGACATTTGCCTGGAGGGATTGAGAAAATCCAGGATCAACCTCAAGAGTCTCAGACACAATTTGAACTGACGACTTCATAAATACAAATCAAGAGTGTTGTATTTTAGTGTCCTGATGCACTGATTCTCGTCCATGACATGTATGTATTGGCCATCTTGTAGTGCACTCAATCTCACATGTCATGTGACACGACATATGAGATTGAGTGCACTACAAGATGGCCAATACATACATATCATGGACAAATCAAGAGCATTACTGCTATGCTACCATGCTCAGTATGTCCAATGCAAAGCTCACTACCAGCTGTGTTGAACTTTCACGTTTTGATCAGTCTCCAGTCCCATGGACTTCAGTAACTTATGGCATACAGACTACACAAAGTACACTGTAAGACTGGTGAAATAAAACGCTTGGGAGAATATACTGTCTTATGACAAACTAACAGGCAAATGTAAAAAATTATGTAATAGGGAGCTTTGTGGGCTGCACTTATCTAAAAACATTAAGGTGATTTTAGCAATGAAATTGAGAGTTCTGGGCAAGCAGAGGAAATAGAGGAAATGCATACAAAACTGTGATATCAAAGTCTCATGGAAAGTAGTAACAGGAATAGAAAATGCATAGATATGAGGATATAAAATATATTTTGCATAAAGAAAAATGTTATTAAGAATATATCAAGTTCAACTTGATCACCATATCTGGACAAAGTTTAGAATATATATTTGAAAATCCAAGATATAATCAGGTGTTAAATGCTGCAACAAATAAGAAAATGACTCAGATTAGGCTACACCTTGTAAATGTTATCTACAAAAAAATGATAACAGAAGATGATGTAACGCAATTCAAACACCATTCAAGGCTGAACAAGATGATTCCCTTAACTACACATCTATGTAATTTCTTCCCAGAATATATTACATAAATTATAACAACTGAACAAAATATATCAGAGTAAAAAAATTATAGCATTTTAGCATTCAATATTCCATTTTATTCATTTGTGGTTGATTTAATAATGGACTATATACTGCCAAATGGTAGGAAAAACCTTGGCCAGGATAGGTGTTCCAGCCAAGATCTGAACCATGAATTTTCCAAGTATACATCACAAGTGTTACTACTTAAGCCAACTTGCTCAGAAATAATTCGATCTGCTAAAACTCTCCTAACTGTACCTGGCTCCAAATGCTGTTAAATGGTAAAATTTGACCAGATCATTCTAAAGTATTATTGCGCCAAGCCATTCCAGGCAAATTCGATAACAGAATGGAAATTTCTAAATCACCTGATTAAAGCCTTTTCTTCGACCTCTAAGTTAATGATTGAAACAAAATGCAAGAACATTCTATTTTATGTAATAAACTGACTCTAAGGTTAAGATTTTGGTCCAGAATAAACAACAATTATATACCTACATAGTTTTAACCAATGAAAACATGTGCATTTTCTGTGAGGTAGGAACTAGAATTTTAAATGCTAATGAAGTCATTGAATTTTTTTTCAATTGACCTAATCCTTCCAGCTGCAGTATGGCTGTGGGGTTGACTCAGCCGCTAACAGAAATGAGTACCAGGAATATTCTTTGGGGTAAAGGACTGACAACTTTACTGCCATCTATGAGCCGACTGTCTAGAAAATGTGGGAACCTCAACATCTCACAACCTTATGGGCCTCCATGGCCTGTTAAGGGATACCTTTACCTTTTTACTTTATATAGATGTACTTCAGGCTTCAAAGGGCTAAGATGTACATGAAGGGAAGCAGACGGAGAGCCCATAACTGATATAAAGTACAAAATTACCTGGGATCCTGTCTCCTTTCAATGGAATTTTGAAGTCGGTCTCAAAATAAGCTGTTACTGTGAATGTTTCGAAAGTCCTTGACACCATGTATAAAAGCTGTTCATGTTGTTCACTTGAATACAGATAACAAAGAGGTATTTTTGCAAATTACTGTCCTTCATGTGCCTAGATTCCTTTAGAAGGTGTCTCATTGAAATATCAGACAGAACAATAGCTACCCTTACTAAGGTTGTTTGTGGTGTTTCAACCATTGCTCCAAATGAATGCTGAGATAGTAAAGTGGTTTTATCAGTCTCTCATGCACCATATATTTGTATTCTATGGAAGATCTGCCTATATTATATTCTTACATACGTGCATGTGAAGATGTAAATTAGAGTTTAGATGTTACTTAACTTCGAAGTTAAATGATATATTCTAAAATTGTGTAACACAACAAAGAACACGCCCAAAATAAGCATTATACAAGGCAAACTAAACACATATAAGAATAAATGAAGCACTATTACCAACTGTAAATACTTGACATAAACAACCTTTTGTTTGTTTCTGTGGTGTCTGCACAAGAGACCCCACTGCCAATCACAGTGCAAGCATCAGTCTCATTTGAATGTTGGTTATGATTCAAGTTCTCTTCAGAACTGGTTATTTTCACCAAGCCTGCAAGCCCCAGTAATTCATTCCTACAAGGAGAGCAAATAAATTGCACTGCACAAAACACATCATCACAATGCACATTATTAATAACAGAAAAAAGTAACATGAAAAACAGCACTTACCAGACCACACAGACAGAAGATATTTATTGTCCACAAAAAGCACTATCCTCCAATGAAGAGAAGGTCAGGCAAATGACAGACAGAACTGGTCGGCCTTGACTTTCTATACAGCATTTAGGGGCATGATGAGATTCATGTAATAAGATAATGGTAAGAGTTGTCTAAAATCATGCAAATGTTTTCAGTCTGAACAATACATGTGGACAAACCTTGGTAACATCCTTGCATTCTCTTCACTGGAGGATATCCCACAAATTAAGTGATAACTAAAAAAATTTCTGTTACTCCTTCTGTTCCACTGAATTTCATTTTCAATGAAAAATATGCAACTCAATTAATTGTAAAACCGCTCATTTTAGCTCTTTAAAAGTATGGTATTTTAGAAAACTTAATTATCAGTTAGTCTTCATTAAAAACTGGCTAAAAAATCATATTCAATCACATTAACACATATTTGTAAAAGTCTAAATCACAAGTCTGTACAGTTTTAGTAAAAAGTCAGTAATGATGGAGACACTGAAATTTTACATTCCGATGACTAATGATGGGTCCCAGGGCTGGTAATGACCTCTGGGATTGATACAGATGCCAGTATAGTTACAAAATCTAGCATAACACTACCTAGCATAATAAGCATGCTAGCCACATATAAAAATGCTGAAATAATGTTGTACAAGAATAGACTGAAAGAAGAACACAGATGGTCAAAGTAAGCCTGAGTATCACAGCAGAAAATTTATAAGAAGGAGATAAAAAATACAATATATGCTAGGAAGTATGAAGCAATAAAAGGAAGGAATTTGAAGGAAAGAAAAATGGATGCGCACATATGGAATACAAGGTCTGACAATAAAGTTCGCAAATGCACCACCACCGTGGCAGCAGTGGACAGGAACCTCAGTATGGTTTCATGACGTTGGCATATCAGTGTTTCACAGATGTGTTGTTGTTGATCTATGACAGTCTCTTTCTGAGTGGCGTCTGTTATTATGAGTGTGTTTTGGTGTGCCCTTGCAAGAATGTTGGAACGAATATTAATTTCGTGCTAATGTTGTCAAGAGTGGAAGCGAAATCAGAGAGATGTTAGTGCAAGTTTACAGAGATAATGCTATGAAGAAAACAGCAGTTTACATGTGGTTGACAAGTTTTTCTGAGGGGAGAGAAAGTATCACTGATGAAGAGAGATCAGCTCAGCCAGCAATTAGCAGAACTGAAGAAAACACCGCAAAATTTGTTAAATTGTGCATGAAAATTGTCGGACGACTGTGAGACACATAGCAGAGCGAGTTAGCATCGACAGAGAAAAGTTAGGAAAACCTTAACTGAAGATCTTGACTTAAGGAAGGTGTGTGCAAAAATGGCCCCAAAGGAGCTCACCAAAAAACACTGTTTGTGAGGGAGTTTTTAGCTAGTAAACAAATAACTGTGCTGGAACAGCTTCCATATTCACTGCAACTGCCAAATGCAAACCAAGGATGCAAAGAGAGAGATAGTGTGCCTGTATACAGATCAAAAGGCACAGCACAAATTACAGTAAACAGAAGTTGTGGAAGGTATGCAGAGGGGTGACATCTAGTAGGCAGATGAGAGGAGAGTCTGTATTCCTTCCCTGACTTTTGGTCATTTATTAACCTAAGTTAGTTCAAATGGACTCTAAAATTGCTGTAGCAAAACCTTAACATAGGCTGAATGCCTGCACCAATTTCCATGAAAATTGGTGTGTATATCATGCCACATAAAGCCATCTCAAGATATACTTCATATTGTTGAGGTAATACATTTTCAAAGAGTCCTAATAATAATCTTTTAATTGTCAGGTAGCAGCATAAGAACAAAATTTTAAAATGGATCACAAGGAAAGAGGGTGGAAGGGATGTGGACTGCATTCTTCTGGCTCAGCCTAAGGACAAAGGCAAGCTTGAGGGAACAAAACAACAAAACTACAGGTTTCAAAATAAGGTGGCGATTTAACCAGTTGAATGATCATTAGCTTGATTCTCAAGTACTCTGTTCCATGGAGTTATGTAGCAAAGTTGTTTTTTTTTTTTAAGATACCAACTGCCAACCAATCTGCCATTGAAGACATTGTGAGGAGAGTAGTCAATATTATGATTTTGCTAGAGGGGTGGACAACTGGAGAACCATGATAAGATTCCTGGTGATGGGGGGGGGACTGAGTTTCTCTTTTCAAATGTGTTCAGATGGCTCTGAGCCTCGTCCCATCTCCAATCAAATTGGTACTGGCAGTTCTTACTCTAGGGGTAAAACAATCATGACTTGCAACTAGTGCCAAAAGTTAAGAAAGTGGAGCTATATTTCCACTCCATATGCATCATTTCTGGCATGTGTTTAATTGCCTGAGCATTTTTACATTTCTTTACATCGAGGACAACAATGCATGTGTTTTAGTTTTTGTTGCTCAAACAAAGTCTCAAGATGGCGGAAGTATGTCACCAGTAAATGTAACGCTCCATATTTTAGTTATAATGCAGCCATATCCAGTGAAAAATTGAGTGAACACTGCATGGAAATCAAAACCTTACTTGCTGAAAGCGTTCACTGAACTTAGCAGTATGAAAGGAAGTGTTGAACTCTTGCAGAAAGAAATCAGAAGACTGAAGGTAGGAGTTATACAGAGAGCACAGATGGTGCAGTAAATACTCAGCATGAGGCCAATATATGTTCTTATGTTGGTATCATACAGAGAATTTGTCTCTTTACTGATGACTTCTATTCTGACAGTATTCTGATTTTAACAATAGCCATAAAATAGTGAATTGACTTAGGTGCTAGTCCTCATGCGTCTGAAGTTTTTTTAATGTTTTTAATGTCTGTCTCAACTTTTGCAGATGGTTTGTGTTGTGGTTGGATTATATATCCTATCTTGTGTTGGTGCCAGTGTCAAGCGATAGAGACTCGCTCTATCGATTGGGCCTAACTGAGTAGGTTTCACCTGAAGACGGAATCAACATCCAGTCATTGAAACGTTTTTTACATAAAAAAACATGACAATGAATAATGTCCGGAAGCACAATAGCTGTAGTATGTCTGTGGAAGACGATGTCATATGAATGTCACCAAAGAAACTGGAACATATGATTTTGCAGTTCCCTAAAATGAAAAAATGGAATATGGTGGGGTTCAGTGCCAGGACAGCAGCTACAAATTAAAAGCAAAAGCCATCTGAATGAAACTATAGTAATTAACTCCATGGTGAACACCTCTTCTCGAGAAGCCAGAAGTTGTTCACAATGTCAAGAAATTCCCAGCATTTTATGAAACGAGAAGGTTTATAACCAAGGCCACAGAAGGCTGCCCCTCTCCTAGGCCAGATGCATCCAGTCCAAACCCATCATATTTCTTTAAGACCTATCTAACAGTGTCCTCCCACTGATGCCTACATCTTCCCTTCAAGTTTTCCTGCACTTCTGTGTACCTTTCCCTTCTCCCCATGCAAGAATGCATGCATGTTACATACCTCTGATTTTATCATCCTAAAATCTGGTGAGCACATATGAAATTATAGGAACATTAACTTTAATTTCAAATATATTTCTGTAGGACTATTCTAGAAGAAAAAATACTGGATTAATTATGGTGATCAACATTCAACAACCTAACTGGACTGAAAGTGTCAATGAAGTGATTATTACAACAGAACTCAATTAAATTTATCTCCTGTTAAGAAAGTCGTCTTCTGGGTTGTCAAAACTTATCTCCTGTTAGTTCATAAATGCACACCTCATTTCAAAACACCACTGTGCTAAGTGACAAGTGTCATTCTACTTTGTGACAGTTATACAACAAGGATACTCAAGAACTGGGATATTTTTGGACAGGAAGGTGTGTGGGGATAATAAGATTTTTGTACTTTGATAAATACCGTTAGAAATAAAAGATTTTTTTTATTTAAGGGATAACATTTATGCCACAAATACATATCAGTTGTTAACCTATGTAGTAAAATGTATATTTTTAAATGATTTCTCTAAAAATCCCCCAAGAACTAATCTCCAGATATGTTACTACCCACGGAATATGTCAGTGAAAATGACCATTACTAGCAGCAAAAAGTAATACTTAATACAGTGTTACAGAAGTTACAATGCGAACACCAGCACCTGACATAATCGTACATCTCTTCCAACTTCATCAAAATTACAAAAGATAAGAGCCAGGGAGAACATAAAACCATACTACTCTTCAGAGTTGTTACTAATAACATACCAACCAGTCACTCTCTTACAAAATGTGGCAAATGTATGGAACAAGTTACTGAATGCCCACCACATGACACAATGATTAAAAGGTGTAAAGTGAATACATTTCCAAAGATCAGTCAGTATTACCTTCAAATCAGAAAACTAACCAAACAAATTTTCTTATGAATAACAACTCAGCTCACCCAAACATCAGACAAGAGAGATAAAAAATAGAGGATCTATCAGTAAAAAGCTTTTATTGAGACTTACTTAAACAGTAATAGAGGAATGGGCTGTGTCACTGATAGTATCTCATAATTTTTTCAAGTGAGGTATTAGTATTTCCTTGGAGTTGGTTTTATTCTTTAAAGGTCTACTGAAAAGTTGGTTACGTATTTTATATCTGGCCTTGTGTGAGAGGGCGTGATAATGTAACGAAAAGGATACAATTTTAACCTCAATGCGGTTTATGTAACTTTTCTGTACGTTTACTTGCTTCCCAAAAGTATGCGTTCAATCTGTCACCTTCATTTATTACTTATACTGACAAATATTCTTGTATTCATCATTTTACGCCCTGTAAGTAATTAATGAATCATGCAGTCATTCATCTTACTTTGGTACAGTTTTCCTGCAGCAGATGCAGGCCATCACTACAGCAACGAGGGGGACGGTTACTCCCACTGTCACAGCCCACAGTGTCCACACTTCCTCACTGTTCAGCATCCTGGTTCATTATTATCTGTCAATCATATATTCTCTCTAGTTGGGATCATCATTTGTCTTATAAATATTACATCTCCATTTAACTGCCTTCCGCCCATGTGTTCTGTGAGCGCAATAACCTCTTGCCCTACTTGACCAACACGCCCAACTAACGTAGTTACACCACAACTTAAGTTATGTAGTTCATTGTTTTATCTTGTCAGAATATTTTCACATACTCATATTTCAACATTAAACACGTATAAAACATAAAACACATAATACTTAACGCCTTCACAGGAATCAGAATTACATACAATTGATTCCAAAACTTCCTAACCATTAACTTCAGCCATTTTTAATACCACGACGTTTCTGCCATCTGTTGAATATTTGCAAGGTCATAACCTCTGTGATCATAACAATATCGACAATATTCGTTACTTTCGTAAAAGTATTAACGCCTGCATTGGCCACCTTATACTTAAATATAACACATGATTGTGTACATTTCCCAGAATGTAATGGGCTAAAGAAAATAAAACCATTAACACTTTAACATGCACAACGGAAAGGAAGGGGAACATCTTGGCATCTTTTACCATCCCGGATTTGGGGGGGGGGGGAAACCGGCATTGTACGAAATATAAATACCAAAAATTATAATTGTTTTAGTAAGAATTGCATGGAGCATAACATAACCATACTATGCTATCAACATTAAAACAAATATTTATATCAAGTTGATATTTTATATGAAAAGTTGGTCATGTGGGAAATTCACTTCATAGTGTATGGAATGAAGAACTCTTCAGTGGAACACAATTTAAAACCTGCTTCAAACTTCAGTATCCTAATAAACTGTTTTGTAAGATTTGACCCTGCCCTCTTTATTACAGTATAATAATGTATGCAACAAAATCATATGTAATGAAAGCACTATGACGGGACGAAAATTTTCATCTGCAGAAACAAGAGTAGGGTACTTATTTAAGGTGCACATAAAATAAATAGTAAAGGTGTAATTATTTGAATTCTTCATATTTCTGAGCAAACCAAGCATACAGGAATATTTTAAAAATTAGTCATTCTCAGTATTTGAGGCATTACTGTCAGAGTACACAGAATGGTAACATGACATACGGGTAATTTTGATGAAAGGTTTTTTTCATGTTTTATTTTTTATCACTTGTTTGTTGTCAATATCTATAGGATGGGTAAAGTGGGCTCTTTCCCTAGGGGTAAAACAGTTTTGGCATGAAACTGACCCTCACTTCCACCTAGTGCCAAGGCCAAGAATGGTAGAGCTGTACAGCCACTCACCCATATGCCTTCCTGGCATAGTAATGAATTAATTAAGCACAAGGACATTACCTGTCATTCAACATTAAACAAAGCAAGGCAAGACTAATTCAATACGTTCATCACTCCCACAAAAAAAAATTAATTAAACCTCAATCCTCACAAAGAAAAAACTAAAAACAAATGTTATGGTGAAATCTAGTCTGTTCATAGCATATTATAAGGGACATTTTGCTGAATTGAGCCTGTCTCGACTGGATAGTTTTGCATACTAAACTGCCATCATCATTCAGATATTCTCAGTGTGTTCAGTTCTTCTATAAGAAAAACTTGTCTATTTTACTCTTCCCCCAATGAGGGTTCATGTATGTGTCATTCTACAGAGAGAAAAATTCAACAACTGTCAATAATTACTGAAGACTCCTCTTTTCTCATTCAGCTATATATATCATTTCCTTCATTTTCTCCCTCGAACATATTTATTACTGAACTCATTTTGATATCAGTCAAACTGAAAGGCAAAATGTTTCAAAACTATCAGTCAAGTCCAGAGAAACTCTTAAAATTTCTTTAAGCAGATTTGTAGACTAAACTGTGGAGAATTTTAAATTTAACCCTGATATTATATATTTCATCTAATTGAAATTGAACATTAACCATGTAAAATGTTAAATTCAGGGGTCTACTTTGCATGCAATGTTTATTTTCCCCATGAAAATGTGACATAGAGGAAGTAATTCTTTTTAAGGTTTTTAAATAAACATAATGAAAATTAGGGAGTTATACAACATCTGTATTTCAACCCTCAAGATTGTTTTTTTCTTTATTGTCAAAAATGGCACGATACATGTATGTAGCACCCTTTCAGTGGTAAATTTTTTATTTATAGAGACTACATGAACATAATTCTGTTTGAGAACAGAGTATTGAGGAGAATATTTTGACTGAAGAGGGGTGAAGTGATAGGAAGTTGGTGAAAACTGCATAGAGGAGCTTCACTTGCACTCTTCATCCAGTATAATTAGAATGATCATGAGGATGAGATGGGCAGGGCATGTAGTACGCATGGGGGTGAAGGGGAATGCATATAGGATTTTCATGGAAAAATTTGTAAGTAGCTACACACCTGGAAGCTTCTCAAGAAGGGCTCAGCTAAATGGAGTTAGTTATATGGACATAATTCAAAACAAAAATCAATGGCAGCAATGAAGAAAAGCCTTGTTACTGCCTAGTTTCATACTTAGTTGTATAGATTTCCAGAAAGGCTACCATTTGAAGAAAAGACATCACTAGTATTTAAAAATATGATAAATTTATTGATAACTTTTACAGGCACAGTGGTAAAGAAATGCAAAAATGAAATTTAACTCCAATGGTCATTATTAAAGTACAAAACACGCAGGTACATTTTTAATGAATATGAAAAATGTAAGAGAAAAATACATTGTGGGAACTGCCCACATTCAACGACATACGACTCCCACAACTTAATAAAGCTACGGATACTGTGTACACAGTAAAGGTAACTGAAACACTGCTTTCTATCTGTACATTTCAGAAAACAAGTACTGTCAAGTGTTCTGTTTATGACAGATATATACTATTACTTCATCAACAATAACATAAGGTAGGTAAAGATATCCCTGTAAGAGGCTGTGAAGGCCTATAGGGTTATGAGAGGTTGAGGCTCCCATATTTTCTAGACAATCGGCTCACAGATGGCGGTAAGGTTGTCAGCCTTACGCACTGGCTGCCCTTTAACCCCCAGGAAAATTCCTGGTACTCATTTCTGTTAGAGGCTGAGTCGACCCCAGGGCCATAGCGCAGCTGGAAGGATGAGATAAATTGAAAAAAATCCACTTCATCAGGACTCGAACCCATGACATTCTGGCTCGTAGCATAGTGCCTCAACCAACTATGCTATTGCATACCCCAACAATAACATAACATATACCTTGTATAAAACATGTCTGAGAGTATCATTATGAGATACACTCAACTCTAGATTATCTGGGAGCGGATTAACCGGGGCTTTTTTGAGGCTTACATGTTGTTTAATATTCATTCACTTTTGTTTCACACGGTGAATTGTAACACTATTTTCACACTAGTGTGAACAGAGCTCTGCATTTTTTGGTCCCGTTATGCTAACACAATGTTCTAGGGTACGGGTGAAAGAATGCAAGGATTTGTGGAAAGTTTCAAGGACAGATACACTGCCCCAGTTAGTCTCTTTGTATCGATCTTCAAGTGCGTTAGCAAAATGTCAGGGTGTAAAAGGAAGTGTGTTGTGTTAAGTATTCAACAGTAACTCGTGTGAGCCGGTCTTCAAAATGTTAAGCAGTGACAAAAGCGTTAAGTTCAGTGGGGTTGCAGCCGGAAGAAAGTGAGAATAAGGAAGAGGTGGACACTGCTGCTAGCAAGAAAATATCACATGGTGCTGCTCTTACTCATTTGGAATCCTTACTAGACTATCTTGAGAGTGAAGAGAACAGTTTATTAAGTGACAAGCTAATATTATCGTACGGATATCTGTAAAAAGGAAAATGCCGTGAAAAAGCAAACGACAGTATTAAATTTTTTTAAGTGTTAAGTGTGAATATTCATAAAAAGTGTTGGATGTTGTTGAACACTGTGATTGAAATAACTAATTCATACTTCAGTGTAACATAAAAAAAGTATTAAATAGGCCATGAGATGACATAAAAATGAGGTTGAATATATTTAAACACAGGTAGGCCTACAGTATTATGAATGTACAGTATTACAGTACTACTTTTAATAAAATTTGTCTTAACCGGGTTTTTGATTAATTGTGATTTTCACCCCCACCATTATCTTGGATAATCGAGAGTTGAGTGTAGTTACATAAAACATCATTAGAAAGTTCCTAGATTCTAACATACAATGGGGAACCAAAATCACCATATCAAAGATCTCGCTGAACACAGTGAATTTTCTTCCATGCTGCATACTCAAGGCACACCATACCCTCAGAGATGTCTTAGACAAAGTTCAAAAACAAATGTGTCCATATTATTCTAATACACTTGTCAATATAAAAGTCATTTAGTACACATACAAGGAAATAAGACTGTCTTAAGTAGTCTTTCATGAATAAATGTTTACTACAAGAATAGGAATGTGTGAATGTTTACAACTAAATTTGTTCTGAATTTGTATTTCAAGCGTGTCTAAGCTGGAACTGATAATGCATGGTTAGTGAACAGTTTGGGGTGACAACACATTATTGATTAAGTAGTACTCTCTTCTAAGACATGATATCGTGTAGTCAGGCTGAAGTTCACAGACGGTTCAGAATAATACTCTGCCTGCTTCTGGCTGGTTACTTGCTTGGTTTACTCTCCAACCTGGAAACTAGGGGCAGCATGTTCCTCTCAAAGGTTGGTGAACTTCTATCAGACCACATGGTGCCACCTCCCACATGGCAGTAATATTTAGTCACTCCATGTGAACCCCAAATTCAGGTCTATTAAATACTTATTTCTCTAGATAAAAGTATTGCGGCATATTTACTCAAGGCAAGAACTATGAAGCCAGCAGAGATAGATGTTACTGAGTATGGGTTCACAAACAAGCATGTTCCTATGGCAACAATTTAACAACAATGAGGAACCATGTTTTCTGTGTGGTCCATGCTGATATGCTATTAGCAGCACAGTTAGTGGAGTTAGTTGAGTTGAGTTGAGTTGAGTTGAGTTGATTTGAGTTGGAGGATTGATTAGTGAGATAGATAACTGCTGGAGTTCACTCACTGTGAGCTACTGCTGTTAGAAGCTGGTAGCTGAGGCCAGAGGAACAGTTCAGGAACCAGAGGAAGGGGAACATCTGCCATTGGAATCCGTTACCACAAAAATGGTGAAGACACAACAGGCTGAGAAGACTTAACTGTGTCTTCTAGTGGACTGTAAAGTGTGTGAATTAGTGAAATGGTTATAATCACATGTAGTCACAGATATGTAAGAGTTCAATTAATGCAATGACCAATCCAGACCTTGTATATAGTTGTCACATTCAATCATGTGACAGTATGTAGTTTGAGTCTCAAATTATTTTGCTCAGAAGTTATGAACAAACTTATGAAATTGTGAACATTTGGAACTCTCAGATTTTTAGGATCAAGAAAATAAATATCCTGATCTTGAAATGAATATTGACTATTTCAGTCCCAAACTTGAAGTTTTCAAATAACTCCTACTTCTTTGTGCAGTAGCATGAAAACTATTGAATCCATCAGAAATATAAGGGTTGGAAATGCTAGCATGAATCAACCTTACACTTCAGTTCATTATGACAAAGTAGTTAGTGTTATAAATTGTGATTACAATATAAACATTGGTCTGGAAGAGAAAACTCTCACTGTTCATCTAAAAAATTTTCCTATTTCCTGCCTCAAGTTGAAGTTATTCTTGAAAATGTCTACGAATTATAAATCCAGACACTCACACATCCCATTAAAATAAAACATCAGTACAAGAATCTGCAGCAAATCTCACATGTCTTACGATAAGCTGCCCCTTTCAACATCTCAATATCAGAATGTGATGCAAAACATTAATCCAAGTGTATACCCATTAATGCCTACTGTCATATTTATGGAATAATACCATATGGTAGAATGGAAACTCTCGGTATTACAGAGAGATGAATGTTATATGATTCTTCACTTATCCAGGTACACATTTAAGGAAACATTAACCTACAACAGGGTAGAAAATAATAAAAAATGTAGACACTAGACAGGGTTCTTGCAACCTTCTACAAATGCATTAATTTTGTCATACATTGTAAAGTTTCTACATATTATGTGCTGTTTTTATTTTTAGTGTACCCCTTTTGACTAATTACAACTCATAACAAAAACTTAAACAATATTATGCAAAATACAATCTGCTACAATGGAATGTCATGTAGTCTGGTAGAAGTTCACTGACATTCTGAAGGAATGTACTGCCACCATGTTCAGGATCCAGCTTGCTGCTTGCTTGAATTACTCTTTAACCCTGCAAATGGAGGCAGTACAGTCCCCCAAAATGTTGAACACCTACTGGACTACCCTGCATCAAATCCCAGATGAGAGGACTTTCCATAGTCACTGCTATGAGAACATCAGTATTAACATGGAAGTCGTGTCTCTGCAGATTCTGTGAAATCACCGGCATCTCAATTTCCAAATGGTAAACCATGTTCCTCAGCCATCTCAATTTCCAGGAGAAAACCCACATTCCCTAAGGAAAGGGAAGGAAGGAGAAAAATACGAGTTTATAAAAACATACACAATACAGCTATATCTCAATTCCATGTCCAATATGGGCCATGCCATAGCTGAAGGCAGTTAGTTGCTGGCTTCCCACAATGACACAGCAAAAATTCTTTTAATTACCTCAAATCCCATAAACGGAAACAGTGTGATGGGCATAAAATGTGTTTCACTTTTCCATACACATCTTTTGCTTGAAAAATTTTTCACTCTGATGAATAGTTAGAAAATTATATGCAAATTAAACCTGCAATGTTTTGTGAAAGTTTCTCGAAACATCATGTACATTATGTCCTCTCACCTTCTTTTAGCATATTTTATATGGATTGATGGATGAAAGTCTCTCATCTCATCTTTCATCCTTATTTCTTAGCACCCCTTTACCCTTTTCTTCACTTATTCCAGTACCCAAATGAACCATCTTGTTCTAGATCATCCCATGTCTCTATCTTTTAGGTGTTATTTCTAATGTACC